ATCAAAAAAGGATCTGTGGGAAAGAGTTTTTTTTTTTTATTAGTTTTAAGTATTTTTTATATATATTATAAAATATTATAAAATATATTTAATAAAGTTAAGGTTGAGCTAAAATTAAAAAAAAAATTAATAATATGCATTTATTATAATAATATTATTAATATCATAAATTGAATAATAATAAATATGTGTTTATAAAAAAAAATTTTTTTTAATATTATATATAATTAGATAATATGACTTTATTTTATTTTATTATTATTTTTTTTTAAACTTGATTTTATTTTATTTTTTTTAATTTGCATTAATATAATTATAATATATTTTTATTGAAATATTAAATAAAGATTTGTAATATTATATAGACTATTTATATAATAACTAATTTATTATTATACTGTATATTAATAATTGAAGAATAATATTACTTTAAAAATATAAGAAGTTTATTAAACTAGTTTAAACTAAATAAAAAAAAGTTTTAACTAGATACTTTAAGTCAGATTTAAGAAAAATACCAATATATTAATATTAGTGGTTTTTTTTTTTTAACTTGCCATCAGGCCAATATGATTTGTTTTTGTTATGAATTAATAAATATAATTATAAATTAAATAGCTTTCATATATTAGCTTACCTATTAATAAAATTGCTTTTTCTAGATATAATTTAGAAAATAATATTTTGCTCTCTTCATAGTTTGGATTATTCTTTAGCTATGAAGTTCAATGCTTACAGGTCATCACTGTAATTAATATTAGTAGTATTTATTTATTAAGATTATTTTGACAAATAATAAATTAATAAATTAAGATTTTTTTTTTTTAATGCTGACTTTGTCATATTTTATTGAAACTCATATATAGAAGAAATTGAGTAAACTTAAACACTATACATCTGAATTTTCTTGCTAATAAAGTAAAAAACAATAAAAGATCTCCTTTAAAGGGTACTCTATCTTGTGGCTAGATCACCTTTTTAAAAATTAGAGGATTAGTTTATAGTTTTACTAATGCTAAAATAAATTTCAAATATATATAAAAGAAAAATAAAGGAAAGAAATGGTTATGTTCCTGGTTATGTTCTACTTTTCAAGGGGTTTGTTAAAGTTTAAGATCCATTTGACAAAATTATATTTGATACTTTATCAAACTTCTCAAATTAACTATTTGCATAAACAAAAAGGCAAGGCTGTACAAGCTTAAACAGGGGTGAAGATTTTGCATTATAAAAAAGACACCATAGGATTAAGGAAAATAGTTTGATTATGTTTGACTGTTGTCTACCAGTTCTGATCTCATTTCTTCTATATTCTATCTAGTATGGGATCTTCTGTAGATATTCTTCTAAGTAATAGCAAGTTGAAGGTTTTGTGAAAGCTCTAGGATATAGGGGAAGTGAAAAAGAGAAGAAGTATGGAACTCATCATTTATTAATTTATCCTTCTTTATTATTGCGATAACACCATCCTAAAAAGAAGAATCTTGATATTTCCAGCATGTATTCTAGCAAACTTGATAAATGTTATATTGTTTTCCCTAGAGTACTTTTATCTATAGAAATTAAGCTATTGTTTACAGTCCTGTTGCATTCTTTAGGTATCTTTGGTCCAGTGACTGCAAGTTAGTATTGATAATTAGGTATAAATAATCTTAAGATCTTCCTAATTTTTCAATAAGCTTGCAATAAAATATAGGCTTAACACTTTTAAGGCATTGTCCTTATTTTGTATTCCCTTAAATCTTGTTTTTATTTATTTTCTTAGTTAGATGAGAAGGAGATATGTTTCTTCTCTTTCACTTATTCTATGATATAGAAGTTAGACTGTATTCCTTATCTATTTATACCAGCCAATGACTTATGGTAGACCTTAGGTTCTTATGGAGCTAAGAAAATACATTTGAATATATAAAGTAATCAATAGAAACTTGCTTACTTTTTTTTTCCTGATATGTTTGATTGTGTTCAATCATGATGCAAGAAATTTTATACTACTCAAAATTCAGGGTCAAATTGAGATAAACAAGATTTTTCAGAAAAATCTTGAAATAAGTACTTTTATAGCCAAATCAGGGGCGGCAAGAGGTAAAAATGAGTCTCTTGCATTCACAATAGACTATGTAATATTTCTTTACAGTGTGAGGTAACTGTATATCAGTTCTTTTTCCTTTTATAACCTTCTTGCCATTAGTAGGAAAGGTAGTTGCTCAACCTTTTATGATCATAAGAGGTTGAGATTTATGTGAAGTAAATGTAAACAAGAAAGGAGGGGAGTAAGATGACTCCTGAAGGTTACCTTCAGGTTGGTTTAAGGAAAGTGTTAAGGCTTTATTAGTAAGAAGGAACAAAAACCCCCCTTGCGAAAGTCTTTTTTGTGTGGTTAGAGGATCAGTGGAAAGAATGATGATTATTTATTAAAGATGGATAAATAAAATATTAAGAAAAGAAAATGATAAAAATAAAAATAATTCAAAATTCTTTCAAAAGTTTCTTATTCAATTAACAATTTTCTTTCAAAAGGAATCTTCCTGAATGAAAAGTTCTTTTTCTTTCAGATTATTTTATTCTTGTTTAAGCTTTTTCAAGTTATCTAAGAAGCTTAACTTTCTATCAATGTATAGATTTGCTTATTACTATATATCTTCTGAATTAACAGCATATGCTCAAAAAACCTTATTTCAAGATATTCAGAAATAGATGATATCTGACCACGACCTTTTCAAATTAACAGAGAAAAAATTAAAAGTATTGACTTTGCATTGGAATCAGCAACTAAACTATCTAATTTTGTGAAGCTTCGGAAACAAAATATACATTAGTTTCTTGTCATATAAAACTCTGGATGAACTAAAATACGTACTCCATAAATACAAAATAAATGTTGAGGAAAGTAGTTCAACTCAGGTATGTGGTATTTTTTCTTGGCATTTTTCCTTCAGGACCAGAAGCGAAATCTCCAGATACAGTATATAGCCACTTTATAACTGCTTTCATCAATAAATTCTGCAAAAATTGATGACAATGATTAGGCACTCGAATAGTATATGAACGAAAGGCTTACAGATCTGAAAACAATATAAACTAATGTCAATGAATGTGTATTCGTTACATCTACTGTATATCAAACGCATCCTTGTCTATTGTCTGATAAATAACCAATGAAGAAAAAATCTAATCAAAAAGTAAGGATATGTTGACTACATCATCAATGGAAATGAGGATCTCATGTGTATGGAAACCTCGTAATGTTGAAATCAGTTACCTTCAGAATATCAGTGCAACTAGAAAAAAAAAAATTTAATCGAAATCAAAAGTAAATGATTAGAGAAGTGATCTTGATCTTGTAGACCCAAATGGAAGGAAAGCAGTGTTGACTACATCAACTAAAATTCTTCAATATCTTTGAAGTAGGTGAATCATTAATAACATCGTGGTGTGATTAAGTTTATCTATGCCTTGAGGTACTTTATATTACGATTCATTCACGTAAGTATCTAGCATTCCCGTTATTTTTTTTAGCTTCTAATGCGATTTGGCATTTTGGGGAATTTATTTAGTATAAATACATTCTCTTTTTTCATCTTCTGTCATACTAGTCACGTTTATTTATTTAATATCAAAGCCAAATTATCAATTAACTCACTCGTCTTTGTAAAGATTTGACTCAATGTACAACTTTAGGATTGATTTGTCACTCGGTTTTGAGTAAATCCAGTTTTCTTAAAAGTCAAGTTGTACCTTTAAAAATTAATTTCTATATTTAAAAATAAATATTCTCAAAGGTCTATATGTGAAATTATTATTATGGCAAAATAAATAAAGCTAATAACATTAAAAATTATACTAGCACAAATATTTCCCATTGTGCTCCATAAATTTATATTTTTTGACCACGTCAAAATCGGAGTGATCACTTAGTAAAGTTTCAAGAGTTCTGCAATGCTCAGAATATGATTTTTCGAGGGGATGGCATGTTAGGGGAGTGGCCAAATGCCTTCGCGCAAGTTTAGACATGACGGGAAATTCGTTTTCGTGTTGACGCCACCACTCGATAGGATCAATGGATTTGCTTTGATTACCTAGCATAACATATCTTTCGAATTCGTCGTCTAAACTAGTCGCTGATCCACTTGCCTTTAGATACTCAGACTTAATCTTTCCAAGGAATCCTTCGTTGTAAATGAACGTATCCTATCATAAAAATGCAAAAATCAATAAATAAATATTTAGAATAGCGTGCAAGGAATTATAAATCTTCTTTACCACAGTACATTCTCGACATTCATTATATTCATCTTTGGTTTGTGGGTTAAAAAATAAGAGTTTGCGGTAGATATTGTTAATAAAATTAAACTCTCGGTAAATTTCTTCAGCGATAAGTCGAATAATATAATACTCCCGATATGGAATTTCGTCACATGGAATTGATAATTCCTTAAATTTACGAAGGGTGCGAAAGAATTCGACCCACAAAGTGTCACACATGTATCTAATTCCGTAGAGTTTTTGAATGATGATCCTTAATGGTTTTGTGTATGAATTTAATCTTGTGAATAATTTAATTATTATAGTATCTGGAAGCAGACTATTCAAACTTTGTGCGGTTTCTGAATTAATAGAATTTGCGTTAATCCTATGTCGAATCGGATTCTCTAATATTACTATATATTCTAATACATTCAAAATAAATGTTAACTCATTATAATTGTTACATTTTAGTAAATCATCTATTTTGTTTCCAAGTATCTCTCTAAGAAGTTCCTGGTCAGATTCGATTAAATAAATAACCAAATCTCTAGTTTTTTTTATATTATCGAATAAAATTTCTGCGTTTTTGTCAAAGCTTCCTATTACTCTATGAAAAAACCCCTCTTCGTTCTTCAAACCCAAGAGATATTTTGCGACGGATTCAAAACTTTGAACAACACAATATAGATATATATCGTCTTCATAATTTTCTGACATATTATATCCGCCACGTCCTTCTATATTTTTTAAAGTTATTGAACTAACTCGATGCTTTTCATCCAACTTCCATTCACCTATGATTTTTTTAATGTAATTAGGGAATTCAGGAGTTTCACTACCATAAAAAAACGACACTTCTTCGGCTCGAACAATATCTAGAAGAACTTCGCGTAACTGAAAATCATCAGAAATCCAATGACAAGTTATCTCCGTATAAGAACCGTAATTTTCAAGCTTCCACGTTACAATTGCTAATGATACAGATTCAACCTGTTGAAGCATATTCCGTAGTTTAGGAAGCAGTAGATTATACGAATTAACCATTTGTGAATTTGTCAATTTGGGGGGTTGATAGGTCTTAATGTGCAAAAGGGATGGTTCTTTCTGTTTCTTCAAATTTTTTTTCCTACGATTCTTAATGAGACCTTTAGATTGTTTATTTGCATTTACATTAATATTGTGGATTGTTAAATGATATCTTAATGATGAAGTAGCACTCGAATAGGTTAGCTCCTTCCCACATTCACTGAATGGGCACTTCACTTTATGAGTTTTAATATCGGTTGAAGAGCTTGGCTTTGTGAAGTAATTCCAAACTTGACTTCTCTTCTTTCCATTATTTGAAGTACTTGGATCAGAATGTGTATTATCATTATTATTGAAAGGCAAATATTCAGATGAATTAGAAGATAAGTTATCCAAAGAATTTTCGTAGGGTGTCATTTTCGCGAATTAAAATTATCAAAAGCTCAACTTGTATTTATTTAAATTGGGTTAGTCGATTCGATTAATCAATTATTCGATTAATTGATTTGCGGTTCGTTTGTTTATTAATCGGTCATTTATGTAATCAAACATTTCCACGCTTATGAGGTAATCAATTAATAGTGATTTTTGAAAGATTGGGCATATGCGCATCGTACAGTACATACAGTAGATCGATCTTTAATTTTATGGTATTGATTAATTGGTTATTATGTAATCCTTATGCTCTCGGTCGTTTTATTGGCTAATACCAACACTAATTATGAGATAATCATTTAATAATGATTTGGGCATGTACCGTATGCGCATACGCACCGAAAAAAAAAAGCGTCACACATACGTGAATATTACATGACCGAGCTTGCTGTATGTACAGGTCAACTCTGAATTTCATTGCGCAATTCTTCGGATTTTCGAGATCCGTATATTTAGCATTGTATTTAGCTATAAAATACTTGGCTCTTTAAAAAAAAAAAATACTCAATTCGACAATTTTAGAGTTTTTGTCATATAAAAACTATTTTTAAATTCAAAGAATTCCCGTAGGGTGTCATTTTCGCTGATCAAAAAGTGTCAAAAGCTCAACTTGCATTTATTTAAATTGGGTTAGTCGATTCGGTTAACCAAATTATGCAGTCTCCTTCCTTGTTCAGTTAATTTGATTTCCATTGGTGGTTAAGAAGTGCATCGGTCGGGATATGCACACTCAATACATGGATCGGATTTTATGTACAGATTAGGACATTTTTTTTTGCATATTATATTATTACAGTATGCTGTATGTGACAGCATATTTGTCACCTTATGCTTTTCCAGCATATTCCAGCATATCAGTTATAGCACGACAAAAATGAATTTTTGGTCCATATATTTGAATAATACATATACAATATAAATTTCATGAGTACAATTATAAAGACAGAAAAATTCCTGTCCGCCTTCGAAAATAATTGCCCATATTATATAATTTGTGCAGTTAGCAGTTTTTTCTGATTATCTATTTAAAAAAGAAAAGTTACGTCACGATCATAAGTATCTGTTCCACCACTATTCATACAATCAAAAAAAAATTTTTTTTAAAAAATAAACCATAAAATAGATTTTAAATTCTAATACATTGTAATCATTGTTAGATTTGATTAATATTGCAATTCAATAATCCATGATATATACAAGTTTTATGATGAATTTGAATAAGAAATGGTTCTATTTTTGCAATCCACTAATTGATCTTATTTTTTTTTCATATTTAATTTTAATACTAGTTAAAAAATATTTATTGATATAATATTACTTATATAATATTCATCAAAAAAAATAATTAATTAATTAAACTAATAATATAAATAAATTATCAATCAATTTTTATTATATAATTCAGCATTATTTACTATATAATTTGTACTATTTTATTATATATAGTATTTTATTAAAAATTTTCTTAAAAATCATTATTTTTACTTTGATGTCTATTAAAATTGCAATTTTGATAAAATTTATATATTTGTCAAATTTTAATTATAAATTATATTTACAATTTAAAGAAATCATCAATAAATATTTATAAGAATTTTGTCAATTTGAGATTTTATGCCTGAATAAAATAAATTGATCAAAAATATTATAAATAAAAATAAAATTACATAATAATTTTAATACTTTTTTTTATATTTTTTTATATTTATGGTTTAAAAAATATATTATAAAGTTTTAAATAATTTGAATTATTTTTTATTAATTTATAAACAAAAATATGCATTTTAAAAAATTCCAAAAAGTTTTGTTACATACTATATTTGCTTATATTAAAAGGTATATTATATAAATTAGTATTATAAATTGAGTTATTCACTAGGATATATTTATATTTATATTATATATTAATTATCTTTATTTTGCAACTATATATTGATTATATTTTTCAATTGTTGCTTTCAAGTTTTTGATATCCTTTTGAACCTTGCAACTTTTGAGTTTTAATTAATTTATCAATTAAGATTATTATATTAGAGTATTTTTTCTAATATTTAAAAAGATTATATTAATAGACTTAGTTAAAAGTTAATAAGGTTAATATTGAATTTCTTAATCTTACTATAATTTGAATTTTATATCTTGTTTTTCTTTTCTTTTTTTTTTTTTTTAAACCCTCTATCAGGTTAGTTAAGTGTGCTTTATTAAATATTTGTAAGCTATATATATTAAATGAAATGCTAAAGCTAAATCTCTAACTAACTCACTCGTTTTGGTTATATTACCT